TTGGTTGGGAACAAGAAGGCAGAACGTTGGGGAGTAGACCACCATGGGACCTGGGGGCCTGGGACTTTCACACTAATTCTCAGCATGTCCTATCAAGATGTTTGAGTTCTACGAGCGAGTGTCTGGAGCCCGAATGCATGCTGCTTATATCCGGCCAGGAGGGGTGCACCAGGTGAGCAGATCCGCGGCTGCCCCAAACCTCCAGCCCAGGCCTATTTTCCCTGTGGCCACTGGAGGGCAGTGCTGGCTGATGGAAGTGCCAACCCTGTAGCCCTGCGGGAGGGGGTGCTGAGCCGCTCTCCTTCGCGGAGACTATGCAGCGCTCAATACCATTTCCGTTTGGCTTCTAGGACCTACCCCTTGGGCTTATGGATGACATTTATGAGTTTTCTAAGAACTTCTCTCTTCGGCTTGATGAGTTGGAGGAGGTAAGCTAGGAGTCAATGGGAAAAGTCTCTCTTTCCCCCGCAAGAAGGGCTTGCGGGGTTTTATTCCCCAGTTGTAGAGAAATACAGAGGTATCTGAAGAGTGTGATGAAGAGAATTAACACCAGTTTTCTTAATCAATAGTTGCTGACCAACAATAGGATCTGGCAGAATCGGACAGTTGACATTGGGGTCATAACAGCAGAAGAGGCACTTAACTATGGTTTTAGGTGAGGGGCATACAACTTCCCTCCTTAGGAGTGGGGATGGGAGTGGGGGAGTTCCAGCCTACTATCTCGTCTTTTAAGACTTGTTGGCACCCTCCTAGTCATACCCTGAATCTGAAGGAGAAACAAGGCGGGGCTGAGGAAGAATGAGCCTCTATACTTGGTTTGTGGAGAGTGATCCTTATTCCCATGATGCTCTCCACAGTGGAGTGATGCTTCGGGGCTCAGGCATCCAGTGGGACCTGCGGAAGACCCAGCCCTATGATGTTTACGACCAGGTTGAGTTTGATGTTCCTATTGGTTCTCACGGGGACTGCTATGATAGGTAAGGCCCCAATCTTTTCTTGGCTGATTGTCCAGCTAGTTTCTCTTGCCTCACTCTTCTCTTTTCCACTTCCTTCTTTACTCTGCTTCTCAGTATCTGTGGGAGCTCTTGTGTGTCTTAAACCAGGTTGCTGTCAAAGCACTTTCACTTACATGGCATTTTTTAATTTTTTTTTGAGATGGAGTTTCACTCTTGTTTCCCAGGCTGGAGTGCTATGGGGTGATCTCAGCTCACCACCACCTCCCCTTCCTGGGTTCAAGCAATTCTCTTGCCTCAACCTCCTGAGTAGCTGGGGTTACAGGCATGTGCCACCATGCCTGGCTACTTTTTTTTTTTTTTGAGACGGAGTTTCGCTCTTGTTGCCCAGGCTGGAGTGCAATGGCGCGATCTCGGCTCACCGCAACCTCCGCCTCCTGGGTTCAGGCAATTCTCCTGCCTCAGCCTCCTGAGTAGCTGGGATTACAGGCACGCGCCACCATGCCCAGCTAATTTTTTGTATTTTTAGTAGAGACGGGGTTTCACCATGTTGACCAGGATGGTCTCGATCTCTTGACCTCGTGATCCACCCGCCTCGGCCTCCCAAAGTGCTGGGATTACAGGCGTAAGCCACCGCGCCCGGCCCGCCTGGCTACTTTTGTATTTTTAGTAGAGATAGTGTTTCTCCATGTTGGTCAGGCTGGTCTTGAACTCCCGACCTCAGGTGACCTGCCTGCCTCGGCCTCCAAAAGTGCTGGGATTACAGGAGTGAGCCACCTTGCCTGGCCTATGACATCTTATTTTATCTTTATATTATCCTTGTCTTAGGTGGAGCTAGCTTTGGCTGCATTTTATAACTGAGAAAGCTGAGACATAAAAGTTAGGGATTAGCTGGAATTTTTCTGCAGAAGTGGTTGAGACTGGAATCCTCCTTATCCAGTGTTCTTTCTACTAGATTTTTAGCTTTAAATTCTCCTCCTGGGCCAGCACGGTGGCTCATACCTGTAATCCCAGCACTTTGGGAGGTGAAGGTGGGCAGATCACTCAAGGTCAGGAATTCAAGACCAGCCTGGCCAACATGGTGAAACCCCATCTCTACTAAAAAAAAAAAAAAAAAAAAAATTAGCCAGGTATGGTGACACATGCCTGTAATTCCAGCTACTTGGGAGGCTGAGACAGGTGAATCGCTTAAACCTCGGGGGTGGAGGTTGCAGTGAGCTGAGATCGCACCACAGCACTCCGGCCTGGGCAACAGATCGAGACTCCGTCCCAAAACAGCAATAACAACAATTTCTCCTCCTGTTTACTGACCCTGAGTCAGATTTGCTACTGTGTATTTTTTGTTTGTCTGTTTTATTTTTTTTAACTGGTAGCTACTGTGTATTTTTGTTGTCCATTTGACTCTCACCCATTCTGTCGTCTAAAAAGTGTGTAAGGGGGTAATTAAAGAAATAAGTACTATAGGCCGTGTTCTGAGAAAATGAGAGGGTTTGGGGAAGCACCCAAGAGTAGAAGCAAAAGACTACAGGGGACTGGGCCTGGTGGCTCATGCCTATAATCCCAGTACTCTTTGAGGGGCTAAAGCAGGCTGTTGCTTGAGCTCAGGAGCTGGAGATGAGCCTGGGCAACAAGGTGAAACCTTATCTCTACAAAAAATAGTTGGACATGGTAGTGCACACCTATAATCCTTGCTACTTTAGAGACTGAGATGAGAGAATCACTTGAGCCCAGGAGTTCAAGGCTGCAGTGAACTGCGTAACCCTAACTCAAAAAAAAAAAAAAAAAAGACTGCAGGGTTTATATGGGTGGCCAGGCCAAGCAGAGATGCTATACTTGGAGAAAAGATTGGGGAAAATTGACCTAACCCTTTTGAGGTTGGCCAGAGGGCATCCTTCCCAGCCCATACCTGCTCCTCTGACTGTTCTTCTCTTGCTCTGTCTTATCTACTTCAGGTACTTGTGCCGGGTGGAGGAGATGCGCCAGTCCCTGAGAATTATTGTGCAGTGTCTAAACAAGATGCCTCCTGGAGAGATCAAGGTTGATGATGCCAAAGTGTCTCCACCTAAGCGAGCAGAGATGAAGGTTGGCTGCAGGGAGGTGGAAAATGTGGGGTGTTGGAAAGGGGCCAGTGGCTGGATTAAATCCTACCTTTCAGTTTTCTTTCTTTGTTTCTTTTTTTTGAGACAGAGTTTCATTCTTATTGCCCAGGCTGGAGTGCAATAGTGCAGTATTGGCTCACTGCCATCTCTGCCTCCCAGGTTCAAGCAATTCTTCTGCCTCAGCCTCCCAAGTAGCTGGGATTACAGGCATGAGCCACCATGCCCAGCTAATGTATTCAGTAGAGACAGGGTTTCACCACCATGTTGGTGAGGCTGGTCTTGAACTCCTGACCTCAGGTGATCCAACTGCCTCGGCCTCCCAAAGTGCTGGGATTACAGGTGTGAGCCACCCCACACAGCCCAGTTTTCCTTTTATAGAGAGTTCACTGTATAAGAGATTTTTAATCTCCCATAGCTCTCTTGTTTTATTCTGTATCCTCTCTGCCTACTGACTTACATGTGGATTTAGTCTTCCTGAGATTAGAGATTATTTTCTGTGCTAGAGTAAGGCCTAGGAGACAGAGTTTGGATTCAGTTTATTGATGCTCCCTTTTTCCTCTCTTCAGACTTCCATGGAGTCACTGATTCATCACTTTAAGTTGTATACAGAGGGCTACCAAGTTCCTCCCGGAGCCACATATACTGCCATTGAGGCTCCCAAGGTGAGGAGACGAGGGGAAGGAAAAGACCATATGTGGAGCAGGTAGCTAAAGATAGATGTTTAACAAAATGCTCATTCATCAGTGAGAGAGAAAACAGCAGGATGAATAGAGGTTTTCTTGGCAGAGAAAAGTATTATTCCTGTTAATAGAGACACCCAACCTTCTTCCTTGGACAGGGAGAGTTTGGAGTGTACTTGGTATCCGATGGCAGCAGTCGCCCTTATCGGTGCAAGATCAAGGCTCCTGGTTTTGCCCATCTGGTAAGAATCAATCCCAGCAACTTTAACTCCAGTGAATTAACCCAGTCATTTTCTGAAGTTGGTTGAGTTTTTTATGAACTCCTTTCTCCTCCCACCTTGCAAATCTTACCTAACTCTTGCCATCTCAATCTCCCCAGGCTGGTTTGGACAGGATGTCTAAGGGACACATGTTGGCAGATGTCGTTGCCATCATAGGTATGAGGCCCATTGTGTAATAGAGGTATCCTAGACAAAGGAGTTGGGGACGCCCACTGGGGACAGAAGCAGAACACTTCGTGCTGACCGTGGGGCATGGGCATAGACTCAAGTCCACAGTCTCTTGAGCACAGTAATGGGTTCTGGATCTTTGTTAAAACCACTGTTTGTTTTGCCTCACAACAGGAAGATAAGGAACATCACTTTTTTCCTCCATCCTCTCACCTCCTAGGTACCCAAGATATTGTGTTTGGAGAAATAGACCGGTGAGCAGGGGAGCAGCGTTTGATCCTCCCTGCCTGTTAGCTTCTTCTGTGGAGCCTGTCCCTCGCTGGAAACGGGCCTCTGTGTGTGTGTGTGTGTGTGTGTGTGTGTGTGTGTGTGTGTGTGTTTGTGTGTGTGTACGTTCATGTACACTTGGCTGTCAGGCTTTCTGTGCATGTACTAAAAAAAGAGAAATTATAATAAATTAGCCGCCTTGCGGCCCCTAGGCCTAAACTTCTGGTATGTCTTTCTCAGTATCTTAGTGTCCTTCACCTTGACTGTAAACCTAACAGTGCTCATTGACCCTCTATTCCTGTTAGAGTCAGTCGATCTTTGCAATTTTTCCTGCTCGTCTCCACCCCCTTCTCTGACTCTTGTCCTTTCCACTTCTCCATTCCCCGTTTCCTCTTTCCCCTCAGTTCCCCTCCTGCTCAAACCTTCTCAGTGCTCACATAAATTGGTAAGCCACTCAAATCAAGACTTGGGGTAAGCTTCCTGTAGGGAGGGAAAGGGTTATAATGGGATCTGAGGGAATGTTGACGGGTAGTTTAGCACAGATAAATTTCTGAACCAGGCGGAGTGGAAAATGGCAGATATAGACAGCCTTTCCTGAGCGTGAGAGTCTCCTCATTCTATGGGTTAGGAGTTGGTCATTAAAGGGCTGAGGCTTAAGAGCCCAGATCTCCCAGTTCCCTTAGTTGGCCCTTCCGGGAGCCGCCCGGTCTCTTGTGCAGGAAGGGGAAGGGGCCAAAGTGTGGGGGAAGGCGTGGCAGGAAGGAGGGTACTCTGTGGTCAGGGAACTGCTCGCTAAGCACAGCTGCACAGTGCTGTCAGAGCGGCCGATCCCCAGCCCAAGATGATTCCAGCAGTGGTCTTGCTCTTACTCCTTTTGGTTGAACAAGCAGGTAAGAGGGTTTGGTGCGGGATACTGCAAGCTGGCTCCAGGGTGGAAATCCAGAGCATGGGTCTTGAGAGCTGAGTCAAACACGCATGAAGGAAGTACAGTGGGTAGGTGGGCATAGGGAGACCCTGAGGCTGATTCTATGTAGCCCAGACTCAGGGCACCAGACTTATAGTTACCTTCTTTCTTGTTGCCGTCTTACCTCATCCCAGACTTCTTTGTTCTTATATTAATATTATTATTTTGGAAACAGAGTCTCACTCTGTCGCCCAGGCTGGAGTGCAGTGGCGCGATCTCCGCTCACTGCAACCTCCACCTCCTGGGTTCAAGCGACTCTCCCGCCTCAGCCTCCAGAGTAGCTGGGACTACAGGCGCCAGCCACCATGTCCAGCTGTCTGGTATTTTTAGTAGAAATGGCTTTTCACCATGTTGACCATGCTGGTCTCGAACTCCTGATTCAAATGATTCATCCCCCTCGACCTCCCAAAGTGCTGGGATTACAGGTGTGGGGCACCGTGCCCAGCTATTATGATTAGTAAAAAAAGACAGGTCTTGCTACGTTGGCCACATTGGTCTTGAACTCCTGGCCTCAAGCAGTCCTTCCATCTTGGCCTCCGAAAGTGCTACTGTTCCTGGCTGACTTTTCATGGTTGATAGAAAGTGGCAGGGGAAGGGTCTGGTTGTATGGCATGAAGAACTGGTCTGGTGAAAAGCTTCATTCCCTGTGATCAGCATTTCCCATGGGGTGCCTTTGGTCTTGTCTGCTGGGAGCTGATGATCTCTAGCTGGTTTAATATACAAAGCACCCTGGTTGCCTGTAATCCCAGCTGTTCAGGAGGCTGAGGCAGAAGAATCGTTTGAACCCAGGAAATGGGGGTTGCAGTGAGCCAAGATCGTGCCATTGCACTCTAGCCTGGGTGACTGAACGAGACCCGATCTCAAAAAATACATGCATATGTATCTATATACAGATACAGATATATACAGAACCCTTTAGGAAGGTAGGGATCTGTCCTTGTTCTTGGGAGTGAGGCAAGGATATAGCCGAGACAAACAGACGTGATTGCTGTTTCTGTGGATCATTGCCAATGCACCATTCTGTCAGCAGTTGATATGAGGGTGGGCAGCATGAGATGCCCAGTTCCAGAGACCCGAGCGTCAGCTGAGAAACAGAGGCAGAAATAGGAAATTCTCCACAGCTTGAAGGCTCCAGTCACTAAGAATTCTCACTTCTCGTTCACTCTGGGTTGTCTGTGCTGGGTTGGTGTGTGTGTGTGTTGGTGGCAGCTGGGTGTCAGGGAGGAGGAGGTCAGTAAACTTCAGGGAAACTGGAGAAATTGAAAGAGAATGACTGGGGAAGAATTCCAGCAGCCTAGCTGAGAAGGTGGGAGTGAGTATTAAGTTAGCCCCTGGTCTGCTGCCTTGGGATGAAGAAGGAGGAGGGTTGCTGAGGCACAAAGGCAAGCATGGGCTTTGGAGGCAGAAAACCTGCGTTTGAGTTCCAGCTCTGTCACTTAACTCTGGCTCTGAGTGAGCTACTTAGCTTTTCCGAGCCTTGGTTTCGTCATCCATAAAACGGCAATGATTATGTTTCCCTCACAGGGTAGTTTTAAGATTTGTGCAATATTGTGTGTGTGTGAAAGAGTGTTGCAGAAGAAAGAGTTCTTGGCCGATGTCAGCATTTCACTGACATTGGCCACATGTACCCTACTGGTCCTCTGATAGGGGGTGAGAGCAGTCTCTGGAGTCCAGACTTGATCTGATTTTTTAAATTGCACAAAACTTCCCCTCTCAGAGGCCCAGAGAGTGAGTAATAGGGCAGAGTAGCAGGAGCTGGAATCCATATAGCTTGTGATCATTCCCCGAGCCTTGTGTGCAGGGCCAAAGGTATCTAGAAGGCCTGGGAAAAACAGACACACTTTTTTTTTTTTTTTTTAAACATATTTAAATATCTTGTGGTGGGACACAAAGCAATAAGGCTGAGGCTAGGGGATGACTAGTAATAGAGTAATTGCCTTCTCTCCCTTCCGCAGCTCACATCCTTCCTGTCCAGCCCTCAGCCACAGGTCACAGGACTTAAGAGAGGCACTTCTGTGGTTTCTTCACTGAAATTTGCCACTGCCTCTCCCTCCCATTACCCCTCTCAGATGAGGTTTTGGTTTCAGTCCACTGGACTCAGATGGGTCCCTTGAGGTGGATAAAGTGCTCAGTGGTGCCTGAAGAACCCACAGTGCTAAAAAGTAAAGGTTGAAAGGTTGGGGGCTGAGGGGGAAGTCCTCAATTATTAGTAGATGTTAAGTCCCATCTCAATAGAACCCTCATGCTTCCTATCCTAGCCCTACCCTATGATAGGGGAGAAGAGGGAAAGGTAAGAGCAGGGGAAGTCCAGAGAGAAATAAAATGTCTTCCCTTAGAGGGATCCCCTCCAGGCCCTATCCTACCTCCCAGAACCCTTTCCCTTCTCCCCTCTGAGCACCAGGTCCTCCCTGATGCCCCTGACCTCATGGGCACCTTTATCCCCTCAGCGGCCCTGGGAGAGCCTCAGCTCTGCTACATCCTGGATGCCATCCTGTTTCTCTATGGAATTGTCCTCACACTCCTCTACTGTCGACTGAAGGTAGTGTGTGGGGTGGGGCAGGCGGTGCGGTAAGCACTGGAAGAGGAAGTGGGAAAGTGGGAGGGGGCAGCAGCAAGGATTCAAAGAGAGGGAATAAAAGGGGAGCCTCCACAAAGTTTGGAGGGAAGGGGATGGACCACTAACTTCCCCTTTACTGAAAACCTTTCCCCCATTCCAGATCCAGGTGCGAAAGGCAGCTATAGCCAGCTATGAGGTATGGACCTTCCCACACCTGGTGTCAACAACTTTTCAGACCCTCAGCCCTTCTGGGGCTCTAGCCTGGGGTTCCGGCCTCTGGGGAAGCATGCCTCTCAGGTGCTGATCTGCATAAACCTCAGAGGCCTCCCTCCCACCTTACCTAGCCAAGCCATGAGTGAAATGTTTGGCGGGTGACAGGGAAGAATCAAGCATAGAGTGACAAGGGATATGTGAGAGACTTGGGTGTGGTACGTCGGGTGTATGTGTGTGCTTACAGCCATGTGGGCAAATGTGTATCCGTGGCCCAGAGCATCCATGTGAGTGCCCTCTAGCCCAAGTCGGCTGGCTGCCCACCCCCACCACCATGCTTCCCTGGGTGGGGAAGATGCTGAGGGGCCCTGGATGTGTGGGTCTCTAATGCTTTGCTTCTTTTGTCTCTGCAGAAATCAGATGGTGTTTACACGGTAAGCGGCCCTGCCTCTCCAACCCAGAAGCCAATACAAGAGGGTGGGATTTTGAGCAACCTTTGGAAGGGGCGGGGCCTGCGGAAGTGGGCGGGGCCTCTGGTGGGCTCCGGCGCCTGATCATCTTTTGACTCCCACCTCCAGGGCCTGAGCACCAGAAACCAGGAGACTTACGAGACTCTGAAGCATGAGAAACCACCACAGTAGCTTTAGAGCACATGCGGTCGTATTCTTCTTCGGCTTCTTGTTCTTCCAGCCCTCATGGTTGGCATCACATACGCCTGCTTGCCATTTACGCGAGCTGGCCCTACCCCTACCCCTATAATAATCCTGTGCCCCCAAATTAATATACACCGGTGGTTCCTCCTCCCTGTTTTGTTTGTTTGTTGGTTGGTTGGTTTTTGAGATGGAGTTTCGCTCTTGTTACCCGGGCTGGAGTGCAATGACTCCATCTCGGCTCACCACAACCTCTGCCTCCTGGGTTCGAGCGATTCTCCTGCCTCGCCTCCCGAGTAGCTGGGATTACAGGCATGCGCCACCACACCCGGCTAACCTGTTTTTTTTTTTTTTTTTTTTTTTGGTATATCTAGTAGAGACAGGGTTTTTCCATGTTGGTCAGGCTGGTCTTGAACTGCTGACCTCAAGTGATCCGCCCGCCTCGGCCTCCTCTGAAGTGCAGGGATTACAGGCATGAGCCATCACAACAGCAATCCTTCTCATCTGTTAAAGACATACTCAGATGCTATTCACAGATGTTTATATTCTAGTTTCACTCTTGTCCCACCCTTCTTCTCTTCCCCATCCCCAACTCCAGCTAAAATATAGGGAGGGAGAATCCCCAATAAAGCTGCCACAGACTGGACTCCATTCATTCATTTATCATATATTTATTCAGTCTCTACTAAGCACTAGATACAGTTTTTCAGTTCGAGAACTCAGTCTAATGGACTTCAGGGCTGTTTTACTCAATTGAGGGATGAACACTGACTGGGCTGGGGGAGGGATAAAACCTTTGACCTCTAGGTGCTCTGAGGACAGAGCTGGATCAGGGCATAGTGTGTTGGGAGTCTAGGCATATTTGGAAACATAAGAAATGACTTCTGTAGCAGCATAGCCTTCTGTATTTGACAATTGAACGAAGGTTGGGTTGCAGGGGAGCCTGGCTTTCCCAAGATAGTCACCAATCCAGACAGTACCAATCCAGTACATATGGGAATGGGCATAGCTGAAAAGCCAAATATGCAGAACGGATGGTGTGACTAGGGCTGTGTGAAGCTCCTAATAGAAGGGTTTATAGGAATGATGAATTTTCAGGGCATCTGGGGCAAGAGGGACCTTAGAGAGCTGGATGGGTTCGTGGTAGGTAAGGCAAAGAAAAATGAGTTGGGTCCAGATGGGGAGTCGTCTCCCTCAAGTGCACGGGTGGTGGTCAAGGCTCTGTCAGTGCCTGTCCTGTTTCTAGAGCCAGCAGGAATAGTTACCCGGAAGAATTTAAACCTCAGAAGATGCTGCCAGTCCTGCTTGTGACCCACAGTCTTTTCAGAATAGGTCTAGAGACTCCAAGCTTATCCCTGCCACGCCCTCAGCCCCCACAGTGCTGCACACCACTTCACACTGCATAGTGACTTATACTTTTCAAAGCATTTTCCAGCTCATTGTACCATTTGATCTGCTAATTAACCCTGTGAGCAAATTCAGGCTCTTTGAAGTGAATTAACCTGTCTAAAGTCACCTTGCAAGGAACCAACTGAGATCTCCTTTGTCCCTGCACATTTTGCCACATGAGAAAAAGTGGATATTGGGAAAGAGAAGGGGTAGTGAGTAATCGTGAATGGTGAGGGTCTTAAAGGCCAGATGAAGGAGGTTGATCAGCAACTGGAAGGAACTGGAGCCATCTCCAGTGTCTGGGGGGAAAGGTGATTTCAGATGAGATATGAGAAATGAGCCAGGGTAGGGAAATAACTCTTTTTTTTTTTTTTTTTG